TTAGATGAAATAATCACGACAAATGTTGGAGTTAGAATTATGAATAGTTTCAGTGATATTAGAAAATATTAACCATGAGCTGCATGATTTGAGAAAAAAGAGTAATTTCTCATGAAACATCAGTATTGTAAACGCGATCAGAAGAAAATTCGGACTATGTACTACGAACACTAAGTAACTTAGTTATGTGTTCTCAATCCGAAAATATTGTGTTAATACAAACAAAATAATTGAACACCCTCAATATCTCTTCAACCCTATGCCTCTAACATTCTTGGCTTCGTTTTAAACTATTAATGAGACAAAATCTATCCAAAAGTATTGCACTCCTCATACACAGATACTATCCAATTGGTCAGTAATTACATTTAAATCATTAGCATTGTAGGGTTATGGAGATAGTTCAGTTACTTTGGATTTATGAATCGATCAATGTCAGACACTGCTAGAAACCTGGAAGCACTGGACGACCGTTTCATCCTGGTATTGGACTCATTAGCAGTGCTCATTCATGACTCCTGCCACTCGTACGGTTTCGAGTGGTGCCGGCTCTGAGGCTAAGCGTTCGCGCGCAAGACTGAAGGTCCTGAGATCAAATCCTGCGAGTGGCATGAGTCGTGAATGCTCATTGCTGATGAGTCCCAGTGTTTTCAGGTTTCTAATGGTGGTCTATCATGGATCGATTCATGATTTCAAACTTTAAATCATTGTAACTTGAAATGAATCCCATAATCAACAGATGCCAAAAGGGTGGATTAGTTAGCATAATACAACAGAATACCAGACTATAACAACTAATAATGGATTATTCCGGAATCTCATTCGATATCAAAGTGAATTGACCACTTCTTGATCACTTCCTATCATCAATATATCAGATGATTATAAAGCTGAAGATCTAAGTTAAAATACAGTATGAAAGGGAATTACGAAAGAAGGTATTGTATATATAGGCAGTATGAGATCTCTTGTCAGATAACGACTATATACTTTTCATCAATTTTAAAGGAAGACTCTACTTCTGTTCTTCATGAAAATTACCCTTTGGCTGTACTAACTCCGTAAAACCCACATTTATAACTTCTAGTTGTTACTGAATGAAAATGAATTTGCTTTT